CATTATCGGTATGCAAATCAAGTCGAAATAAACCGGTTATGAACTTTTTTTCCAGGTATTTATTTCTCTTTTGGGACGAACATCGATGGTGAATTATAACATCACAAGCGGTCATATATGGAATGGATTGGGTACAAGAAAAGCCCCCTAGAATGTTGCTCTTCAGCCATCGGCAATCTAAGCACACGATCAATATGCCTTGTGTGACGCAGATGGTGATTTCAAAATATCATGTTCTAACTGTATTGGTATACTTTTATTTCGCACATATCGATATAAAATGGTAATCTGTTTCATCAATCCAGTCATACATCTTCTCTACAGGTCTTGTGTAAGCAGTTTGTCGGCTTTCCTCTCTGCTCGAACGGCATTACCACAATACCGAGTTTTTAGACAACAGCAGTTGAGTGGTTTGCTCAGAGAAAAAGGCTGCGTATGACAACCGTAGAATGGGCTGTTACTAAATTTAAATCACAATCTCCCATCCCGGAACTTTTCTAAGGCAAGAAGTATTTGATCGAATTTATTAAAGAGGCCTTGAACCCGAATTTCAACCCATACATATCATGAAGGAGAGGTTTTACTCAAGCTAATTTTGGCCATCTACCGGTAATTTTTTTAAAATCATTTCGTGACTATGCCCACGAGGACGAGACAAAGCCTCTTGGATATATTACACGATGTTATAATTATAGCTACTGAGCGAATTGCAGCTTTACTACTAATACATATTAGTTTGTACAAGATCTTCATACGTTATGAATCGATTATAACGATCAAAAGCAAAACTATAAATAATAATAACAATGAGTTGTTTGCAGACACGATTTGTCTTCCTTTACCATGCGAAGAGCGCATATATGCATAATGTGGTTTAAGCATTGAATTTGTTTTTGACAAGATCGCGTTTCTGATACGGAGCTTGAAAATCAGACATTTTTTGCATGAAGGCTATTCTCGATCGCGCCGCATCGCATTTTTGTTGACAAAATCTGCAGATCAATTAGTAAAACATATGAAAAATCTATTTTTTCGAAAAGCTCTATTGTACGTGTTTATTATGTGAATCGCAATAAACTTTGGATCATTTTGAAGCTAATTGGTTGGCCTTTAAAAAAAAAATAAGGTAAAAATTTTTATTAGTCATTGTAAGAAAGGAGTTGTTCGTTAAAGTGCCAGTATATACGTTACACATGTTTTTCATAGATTTTCATGTGTAACATTGATACTGCCACTTCAACAAACTGCAGCTTCAGAGCGGTAATGGGGTTAAGTTTTTTTCAAAAACTACAACCAATTATCTTCATGCCGGTAAAAAAATCATCGTGACCAAACACGTAGAATAGAGCTTTTGAAGAAAAAGATTTTTCATATGTTTTACTAATTGATCTGCAAATTTTTTCGATACTTTTTTCCGGTGAGTGTATGTTGGTTCACCTTGTGCCGTAGATAGAGGGTACCTAACGACAAGTGGGTTCCTGGCAGCATTGTCTGCCTGTATATTCTGGAGTAAGGCGTCTGGGAGAATAGGATGGATGCGCGCATCAAAGTGAAAGAAGTGAATGTCCTTAGGTTTGACATTCTTCAGTTCGTCAACTAGAGGAGGGAGTTTGGCTTTGAGATCATTCAAGTTAGGGTCCTGAATGTCAGGGCCAAAATTAAAATTATATTTCACAGGTTCCTCATCCCCTTCTAAGAGGATCCATAGCACATAGCTTTGTGTATTGGATGGAGCATCGGCTGTATCCATAAACGACATTATAGGTTCTTTTGTGAAGAAGATAATAATTTGCTTTCAGCGGTGGCTATGTAAATAAAGGTCGAGCCACTTATGACGTCACATGTTCACTTTGTCTGGTTTTGTTGCAGCGCGCGCCCCATATAATAATAAGGTATCAGGTGATTTCTTAAAACAGGTCACACAAAATTCGTAGATAAATTTATTTCTCTATCATTTCTCATCGCAATTTTATGAAAATTTGAACATAAATATTTTAAATCATTCTAAACACATTTTGTTAGTATGAAATTTGATGTCAGCACAGAGAATATCGAGTATTAAACAAATAAATTTAAAAGACAAAGTCGGCAAAATCTTTACGCTGGATTTAATTGTTATAATAGAGAGATATACCAAGGCGACAGTGATGCAAATAACAAAGATACATGTAAAATGTATCGTGCAAGTTTAATTAGTGCACAATGTGCAGTTGCATTAGTAAAGTTTTTCGTTGCATGCGCGCGAACTTGATGTATACACGTAATTTGCAAAATTTTGCGTTACTCGCTCATTTATTGGAGGGCACTGTACGGCACATCAAATAAAATTGTCTGGTTTACCCTAAACTAGAAACACATACCAACTCTAAGGCATGTACGTAAGAAGACATGGAATATATTCTGAATGTATAAATTGAAAACCTTTATAGCAACATTCAATGCGTAGCCACCCACTGACGGAAATTTATATAGAAAATACAATCTACAAGGCCATTATTTGTGCACAAAACATAAAAATGGTGTAAAAAACGTTTCTTCTAACAAACGCGTGCAGTGAAAACTGTAGCATTTTTAAACTTTTATTGTCATTCCTTAAATATGCTAGAAGAATGTTTGATAAAAAGTATTTTCAATTTTTAATTTTAAAGCGTGGTATCGCTTACACATCCTGTTCAGATAATTCTTGAAGGCGATTCGTTATGCCTATAATTACTAAATTTGATAAATGTAAGTTATAATTGATTATCGGGCTGGTTTTTGTAATTAGAAACCGTAGCGTCCGAATATCTAACCCAATTTATAAGACAAAATTTCTTTAGCTCTCCTAAATTATAGATTGCCCATTAAAAAGGCTATTGAATTCGACACTATTAAAAACACTTTATGCTATTTCCGCAACTGATACTGTTCTCGTCACAAAGTACCGCCAAAAGTTTAAATATATTTACATAAGAAATTACGTTTATTCAAACGTATAAAAAAAGTGCTAGTCAATGCAAAAAAAGTTTCAGTCGAACCCTCACCATAAATGCAAATCTCAAGTTTTTTCTCATGGAACTTTGTCCCTGTCTATGGAAAAATATAACTTTCTAACGCTAAACGTAAATTACATAATTTATACAGCATAGACCGTGTAAATTAACACAATGTTAGAACTATATATTACGAGATGAATTTTTTTAGACCACGTTTATTGTATAAGAATAATAAGTTTGAAATTAACTAATATTATAGACTTTGCGCAAACGTTGTATTGTTTGAGTTCCTGTCTCAGCTCACAGTAAATCTTGTGTGATAAACGTCTGGATAAAATGTCACGACTGCTGATACAAAACGGTTTAAGTCGGCTAAATTTCCAGAGTTAGAGCCTGCACATAGAGGAGACTTAATTCTTTTTAAAGGAAACTTTTATGTGCAAAACTTCCATAAATGCAGGCCAAATTCATCGGCTGTAAACTAATTGACGGACTTAAAAATCACCTGATTACAAAAATAATTAAGGACATCTGGGAGGGAGGACGGTAGCACGAATGTGATAAATTAGGATGGTGATATAAATTATTTACTGTATATAAACATCTTTCTCAAGACAGAAACTTACGACGAGGGTAAAACTGAATGAGCAAGTCTATTTCCTGACGCAGCTTCGCTCCTCGTAATATTATTGTCAGAGCCGACATTTTTTATGTAAGATTCCAGTAAGTTGGCGAGATATACGATTCTGGTAATTTAACAAGGGGGTATGAGAAGCATTTGGCTAACATATAAATTCTCAAAGTTGATATCTTGTCTGCAAAAATTAATTTGACAATCAAGAAACGGGCGTGAGAAGCGTTTGACTTGGAACGTAATTATGAGACTGTGCAATGTCTATTGTACGCGAGGGCATTCGTAGTAATCGCATGCATTAAAGCAATGTATAACAATAATCGTTGTCTAATTCAAATATTATTTTGTTAGGGAAAAGCCTAGGCCAAGATATGGGCAGCCTATTTGAGCCATAGACTATATCAGTGACACCAAAGGACGCGCAGATACTCTAGACAAAAGTTTCCTTCCGCGTAAATGCAAGCGTAAACATAATTACGCATATTAATAATACAATCAGGAACAATATTCCAAAAAACAAATTCTTTTTACTGATGCTTGAATAAAGCCTTAACACGCTCATTTTTGCGTCACTTTAGCCTTAATTCTTAATACATTTGTTTGAGAATTGCCCAAACACTCCCAATTGCGAACTATATAACAGCCAAAACAATACACAATATAGCAGTTTAATTCGAGATTCGTACGAACATTCTTCGACGGTTATCGTTGTGCTAGAAATCTAGCGTTGATGCCTGGACAATAAGTACAAGTTTATTGAGAATTTGCAGATACATGACGTTTACGCGCGGCACACAAAATATTCTACCATTGCTTTTTGAGGTGAGCACTGCAATACTATATTGATTTGACAAATCATAAGTTCTGGTTTGAATTTTCGATTAAACTTAACATATCATTAAGTTTAATCGCGGATTTAACTTCTCAGCCTTCTTCTATGATGCAACCATATTGTAACGACAACGAGTACAAAACCGGACGCGTTAATAAGCTTCTGTTATCAGAGAAAGGGTCTGCCATGAGTAACATTGTGAGTCTTATACCGTATGAATGCTTTTCCATAAACTTGAATAAACGCATTACTAGACTTCAGGTAAATAATAGAATACAGTTATTTGGAGCAATTGTGATGTAGACTGCTTGCTTTCTGCTAGTGGTAATAATAAGAAGAAGAAGAAGTAATGCATGGGATAACCGGAAAAGTAGCTTTATTTGAAAATGTGTTAACACGTAATAATGTACAAATTACATCAATCTTCAAACCTGTTTTCCTGAATATCTATTCAAAATCCCGGTCATCTTTTATCTTTTGGAACCCTGTTAACAAAAGACCTGCACATGCTATGTATTAACTTTGTTATATCTCTCTTTTTACAGCTATAAGCATAAGGAAATAAACTTGGATCATTATGGAATAAATGTCTTAAAAACGTCATGACCTGATGATGCGTAAGAGCATTTATTTGACTAGTCACTGTTTAAATCTCAATACGTAAATGTTTATTGATAAACGTTGCGCCTACTTATGCCAATTTCTATGTATATTTTTTCCTTTATGTTGTTATTAGAAGTATTTCACGGATCAACTGTTCCGGTTGTATTAAATCTCGTAACAAAAATTGGTAAATATTGTTTTATCTCCGTTTTTTCCGTAAGTATAATGATTAGACAGGTAACTAAACTTTTTTCCTTAAATTTAAAACCAATTTTACAAGAAAGGTGAGGTTTTTTATAATAAAAAAAATTTTTTTTTTAATTGAAGCCT